CGCCATCGACGACGACGCGCGCGCGGTCGCCCCCGCCGGCGTCGCGGTCGTCCAGTCGCGCGTGCGACGACGGTGGGCGCGTCGTCGGCGCGCGCGGCACACGCGGGTTTTCGACGGTGTCTACCACGAGTGCTGACTCGTGACGAGCATCTCGGGACCGACGATCACGAGTGCTGACTCGTGACGAGCATCTCGGGACCGACGATCACGAGTGCTGACTCGTGACAACCCCCACCCAGGCCACGATCGCGTCGTTCGAATCGCCCGCGCGTCGACGCCGACGCCGACGCCGCGACGCGACGCCCTTCGCGATGGCGACCACGGCGGAGGAGTCCGAGGACGAGGCCCTGGCGCTGGCGATCGGCATGGAGCTGGGCGAGCGCGCGCACGCGCGCGGGGGGGCGGACGACGCGGGGACGTCGGCGACGGTGGACGCGGACGGGCGAGCGAACGACGGCGTCCTGCGGGCGATGGATCGCCTCGGTGCGCGGATGCGAACGCGGAGAGACGAAGCGTTGATCGCGGGCGCGCGGGCGCTCGGACGAGAGGCGAGTGAGAGCGAAGAGGAGGAGGAGGAGGAGGAGTCGGCGGGCGCGCGCGCGCTCGCGACGACGACGGGCGCGGCGGCGCAAGGGTCGCGCGCGCTGCAGATCTTGAAGACGAATCCGCAGGTGCGGAACGCGTCGCAGGAGCATATGTTTTTGCCCGCGATTCATAAGTCGTTAGCGCCGAAGATTCGAACGGAGATGAAAACGAGCACGTTTCGACCAAAGCTCCCGACGTGGGCGGAGACGAAGAAGGAACACTTGGCGATCACGGGCGATTTAGGGGCGATCGGGAAGGCTTTAGAGGCGAATCAGAACTTTCAGCTCGACGTTCGGGCGATGTTGGAGTCGATCGACGATAAGCTTGCGAGAAACGCGACGCTATTGACGGAGGTGCAGCGCTGTAAGAATCGCAAGGGTCGTCGCGTGCACTGGTCGCTGCAGGAGTCTATGTTCGACATCTGGGGACAGAAGAGCGAGCTTTACTTCCGCGTGCCGTCGGCGTGGACGCCGTCGCAAAAAACGCCAAACGCGCTCCCGTCCGAGGACGTCACGGGAATCGTGTCTCAGTTGAATCTGCAGAAGCAAATCACCCCAAACGCCGACCAGCTTCGTCTCGGTTGGGCGAACTTAGTCGACAAGATTCCACTCTCTTACGCCTCGCACTGCCGCTCTTGGACACCAAAGGAGGATGAGCAGCTTCGCAAGGGTGTGCATTTTCAGCTTCAGCAGGCGAGACTGCTCACGGACCAGCGCATGAGTCTCGAAGAGCTCGCGGGGATATCTTTGCAGTCACTCGAGACGCTTCTCGTCGCGGGCGGTTTGGACGTCATCGCTCGCGATGCCGACGCCATCCAGTGGGAGGAAGTGGTGCGCATGCATATGCCTCAGCGAACCGTCGATGACTGTCGCTTGCGCTGGATGAACGTCGTTGACCCGCGCATTTGCCAAACGGACTGGACAGACGGCGAGGACGAGCGGCTCGTCCAGCTCGCGGAAGAGATGGCCACGAACCGAGACTGGACGCTCATCGCACAGGAGCTTCACGCAAGTAATCGCACCCCTGGTGGACTTGTTCGCTCGCCGCATCAGTGCGCGGTGCGCTATCAAGCGGAGTGGAATCCTGGGCTCGTCAAGAGCACGTGGACTCCCGAGGAGGACGAAACGGTCTTGTGCTGGGTGCGCGAACACGGCACCGGGAACTGGACCAAGCTCGCTAGACTTTTGCCTGGTCACACTGGTCAACAGATTCTTCATCGGTGGCGTCGACTTCAACCTACCCGGCGAATCGGCGCCTGGACGAAGGAAGAGGACGAGGCGTTGCGAGTCGCCGTGAGCGCGTACAGCGGCGGTGAACGCATCAAGTGGTCGCTGGTGCAAGAGCACGTTCCGACGCGAACGGACGTGCAGTGCCGCGAGCGCTGGACGGGTGTGCTCGATCCAAGCATCAAAACTGGAGCATGGACCAAGGAAGAAGACACGGCACTTATGAGCGCTCTTGGTTGGGATTTTGAAGAGAAAGGCTTCAACGAGTGGGCGCGTCTCAGCGAAGTCGTTCCAGGACGCACAGGTAAAAATTGCATGCGACGCGGCAAAGCTCTCATGAAGAAGAAACAAAAGGCCGATGCAGCCGCCGTCGCGGCCGCAGCTGCGGCCGCAACGGCGGAGGAGAACGGTGAAGCGGCTCCAAAGAAAAGACGTGCGGCGCCCAAACGGTCCGCCGCAGTAGCCGCTGAGGGCACCTCTCCCTCAGCTGAGCCCACGACGAAGCGACGCGTGCGTAGTTAGAAATCCGTCGAATGGAACGAAGGCTTCAGCCCGACGCGTGAGCGAATGGATTCAGATCATCGATGTACCAGAAGGACACAATCACAAGTAGTAAGTTGTAACCATAACAGCGAGCGACGAAAACTGTATTTTATCAAAAAAATGCGATGTGTGGTTGTGTTACAAAAGGTGTCACGCATTTAAGACACGTGTAACGATCTTGATTGCCGTTGGTAATGCATGTCACTGCGGCTTGCTTGCTTACATGCGGGACGCGGCTTCCAAAGACGCTTCGAACGCCTTGGCGCAGGCGGCCTCATCGACCTTGCCAGCGCACGCTTGTTCCATCTTTTGCAGGTCACCGTTGCCAAGTTCGAGGGCGATGTCGGCCGGGAGGATATTGAGGCCGTCAACAAGCTCTTGGGCAACCATACCAGAGATGGCGATCATCGCGAGGCGGCCGTTGTTCAGCTCCTTGAGGCGGAGTGCGTCGAGCTCTTCCGCGGACTTGCCGTTGCCGAGTCCGAGCGGGTCGAACGAGAGGTCGCCCGGGGTGTAGCCGTCCTTGAGCAAGAAGAGCTTGTCCGATTGACCCGGGTCTTGCCAGCCCGCTTGCACGCGCGCGGACTCCGCGATCGCGATCACGGAACCGATCGCGAACCAGAACGGAAGCGGCACTTGTTGGAAGTGGTTCACCGCCGGGCCGGTGACTTGGGCGTCGAAGAGGAAGGAGGACCCCTCGACTTGTTCGCCGACCAAGAAACCGACGGTGGCGAGCATGCACACGCGAGAGTGCGCGACTTCAGCCTCACGGTATCGCTGCAGCGTCGCGCCGTCGACACCGTTGCAGAAGCCGAGGATATCGAGCCCTTCCGGGAACGGCGCGGAGGCACCGATGAGACCGGCGGCCGTGGCTTCTTGGATGTTCGCGTAGTTCTTCCCCTTTTGGAAGACGTCGGCGCCGCTGGCGCGGACTTGCGGCTTGGCGGCCATCATGGTGACGAGCATCGGCATCTTACGCGCGAGCGAACCGTGTGCGAGAGTGCCGACGACGGCGGCGGCCGCGTCGAGATCGACGCGTTTTGCTCTTCGATGTCGTGAACCGACGCCGAGGGGGTCCCCTCTCGAGTGTTCACTCGTCGACGACGACACCGCGTCGACGTCATCACACACGATCGACGTCACGTGACGTCATCACCACCGCGCACGCGGGGCCGCACGTTTCACGGACACGTATTCAACGCCCGTGAGGCCGATCAAACAAAACGAGTGCCCCCCCCCCGAGTCGCGCGACGGCTCGACCGTTGGCGCGCGTCGGGGACGGGAAGCGCTGCACGACTTTGTGCGCACGCGACCTCGACCCCGCGCCCGACGCCCCGACGCGAACGCGTGGCGCGCGCGCGCGCCCGCGCGCGAGCGTCGCGACGTGCGACGGGATCGCGCGCGTCGTCGTCGAGGGACGCGTGCGCGTGATCGCGCGATCGCGCGCGTCGACGCGGTGTCCAGACGGTGGTGGGATTCATTCGTCGGTGCATTCATTCGGCGCGCGCGGGACGGTCGGGCGTCGGTCGGGATGACGCGCGCGCCCTCGATGGCTGAGCTCTCGAGCGCGTTCGCGACGTTTGCGTCGATGATGACGCGCGCGACGGTCTCGGAGACGGCGATCGAGGTCGCGAGCGAGGCGGTGGTGGACGGCTTGGCGCGCGGCGGAGACGCGTCGAGGCGGGACGTCGACGCGGCGTGTAGGGCGATCGAGCGCGCGATGATCGAACGCGGACGACGAGGGCGAGTGGTTTTGGCCGCGTTCGATGTGTTTAAAGCGATCGGGGCGACGCGGGGGCGGTGCGAGGGATTGGATCGCGTCGCGAGTACCGTGGCGGAGCGCGGGTGCGAGAAGTTTGATGGAGACGCGGACTCACACGTCTCTCGCGCGCTCGAGGCGCTGCGGTTCTACGTCTTGGATGGACGCGACGGTTATCGGAGCGATGGGGGGTCGATGGTAGGGGTGTCGGGGCGCGATGAGGCTCCGGTGGTGGCGGCGATTGCACCAGCGTTGCGCTTTGCGAGAAAGCTACTCGACTCCGAGACGTCGAGGGAGGAGTCGATGCAGGCGGCGCTCTTTCTCGCTGCGGTGTGCGTCGTGCACGGGCACATCAATGGAATTGACGACGAATGGCGTGTAAAGGCGCGCGAGGTGCTCGATTCGTCCTCAATATCGATTGGAACGCTCGTTGGACCAAGGGCAAAGTACTTGGAGCGCGCTGTGGCAACAGATAAAGCGAGGCGCATACTGAGAACCTTCGCTCACGTCACGGCACCGGTTCTACCGAACCCATCGATCACATGTCGCGACGAAAGTATCGAGCATTCGAACTCGATGGACGCCGCTCCATCTTCTCTGCAACACGTCGATGTTTTGTTTGACAATCCCATCACGCCGTTGCGTGGAAAATTGAAACCGAGCTTTGAGTCACAGTCCCCTAAAAGTCACGATATGTCGAAACAAGACATGGATGTTTCTTTTGCGGTGAGACAGTACTTCAAGTGCGCTCTGGAGGATACGATCGCTCCTGAAACACCCGTGAGCGAACTATTCTCGTATCAAATTGATGTCATGTGCGCCTACGCAACAGATTTCTGCGCAACGCTGTCGGCGATGACTAAGTGGGTCCGCGCGTGTCGAAAGACGCTTCGAAGAGGAATGCTTCTGAAACAATACGCGGTGAACAATCGATGGATGGAGCACGATCTTCGAACGACGTTGGATGCGAACGTGTCAGCCTTGACAAGCTTGACGCGTTTAGTGAAGATGGTGGGCGTGAGAGAGATTTTGCTAGCGAATAAGTCTGTGCCGTTCATTACAGTGGGGAACGTAGAGTCGTGGATGCGCGTCGGATTTTCTTTGGTAAAAGTTGCCGCACGAAAGCAGCAAAGTCTCGCCGCGTTTGCCGTCGTTATCTTCGCGTCACACGAACCAAATGCACAGCACTTCGGGACCGCAACGTCAGGGAGAGTCCTGCCTCTTCGCTTAGCGTTTCTCGTCTGGTCACGGATGGTTAATGTGCGTAGGGCAAATGCAAAAGAGCAACTATTCGCGTTGGTGCACTACGAGGTTCAGTTGATGCGTAAGGCGTTCAAAGCTCTTTGTGAGTTTGCTCCGTATCATCGTCAGCTCACGCAGGAGCTCGTCCGAACTCTAGGCCTGAGGTGGCGCAAAAACGCGCACGAGGCTCGCCGCCTGGCGGACGAGCCATTCGGTAAGACGTTCGACGAGCATGTCATGGGACCGTCGACGTCCACTCTTTCACAAGGGTCGACACCTTCGCACACCCGTCAGAGCTCCATCTCTTGGTCGCCTCTAAACGATCACGTCATACAAAATTCAATGGGCAAGAGTCGTTCGTTCAAGACTCGAAGCGTAAAAAGCAGGAGTTCACACGTTTCGTTCGATGACGCAGTGGACGTGATACCCGTCGCGGCGATTGAGTTCACGCAAGAGCAGTCAACTTTACATGAAGTGTTTCAAGCTTGGATTGATTTTACTCTCGAGCAGCGCTTCACGGGGCCGAGTCTGGTGGCGATAAATCACAGGAACGATGTACTGATGAGGAAGAGCTTCGTGGCACTCCGTAGATATGTCGTACGAAGCGTTGGCGTGCGCGAGAAGGCCGTCATCGTGGAAAGTGCCGTGCGAAAACTCGAATTTATGCTTGTGTGCGGTGCCGCTTTCCGAAAGTGGGTCACAGGTGTGAGGTACATAAAGAGACTTTACGCATTCGTCGATGGAGAAGTCGAGCGCTGGCGTACCGAACTTCGTATTAGCTGCTTTTGCGCGTGGCGCGATATCGCCGCATCTGGCGCGCACAAGATGCTTTGGGAGGAGCATATGCTGGCGGACGTGGTGCCGAAGCTGGACATGGTTCGTCGAAAAATTTGGTTGCGAATGTGGATTTCCGCAACGCACAAGTCGCTTGAAGAGCGCTTGGATGACGCAAGGGCCCATGCGAGATCTTACATGTGTAAGACCGTTCTTTATGCGTGGAAATCGCGCGTAGGTGAGCTCGTTGTCAAGCGTCTAGTCGAAGACGTAGAGAGGCGCTTGAGTGCGCTTTAGTTTTAGCTTAAGGTTGTGCTTCAAAAAAGTGTTGTAATGGTATCGGTACGTTCAATAGTGCGAGATAGTACGACAAATGGTTTAAAGTATATCTAGGCAAACTTGCGCGGCTTCGTCGGGTACAGCACCTGTCGACCGTTTATGTTCCAGATGCCCCACACGAGCGCCGTAGCGACGGTGAGCCAAATTGCCAGCGGGGCAATCATGTAGCCGGCGGTGGGTAGAACCTTGTAGTACTGCGCCACAACATTGTACGCGGAGCCGACTACAAAAAGAACGCCGATTGCGGCGACTCCGAGCTTCTTCTCGACGTTATTGATCGAGTTCCATGTGTCGCCGATGGAAAGGTGCGCCACGAGCGACATTACGGCCGGGTGCAACAAGTTCCCAGTCGTCGTGAACACGAGCATCGTCGACAACGAGCGCAGAAACGCCATAGATATCCATACCAACGGAAACACAACCGCTGGGGGCGTCCAGCTCGGGCGCTTTCTCTGTTTCTTAGACAATCTCTCGTTCGCAATCTTCGGCCTGGACGCGTTGAGCGGCGAGAACACCCTGCTGCGTAAAGCGAGCCCGAAGAAAATAACCGCCGTGATAGCCTTCGCCGCGCCTAAATTGCTCGCGTGCAGCTTCGCCAAACCGGCCATCTGCACAAAGTACAGAAACGCGCCGATCGCGCTCACCTCGAACGCGGTCGCCGCGACGTATCGAGCCACCGCGCCGAAATCCAGCGTTCCAGTTCGTTCCCTCCACGCGTCGATCCACGCGCTCGCCTCCTGCGCCCGCGCCTTCACGTCCGATGCCGCCGCGCTCTCCGTCATGTATACGCGTCCACTTTTACCACCGCGTCGGAACGACACCTCGCCCGCGCTCGCGACGACGCGCGCGCGCGATCGCGACGAACGACCGGGACGGGTGCGCGCATTCGTTCGTCCACGTCTGTGTGACTCCTTCGCGTCGTGACGGAGCCGTGGGGCGCGCGCGCGGTGCGGCGCGGTGAGAGCGATCGTCATGACCGCGCGCGATGCCGATGAGTCGACGCGGCGCTCTGTGACGCGCGAGAGCGAGAGGAACGAGTGCGCGTCGCGCGACGACTCGAGCGCGCTCGAGGGCGATCGATCGCGGCGCGATGACGGCATGGCGTACGACGTGACGCATAGCGTGGGTGTCACTCTTGGATTTCATATTTCTAATTTCTCCGGCGAGACGACGATTCCGTCGGCGTCCGCGTACACGTACGAGCCCGGAACGAACGTCACGCCCGCGAACGTCACGGGAACGTCTCGAAGACCCGGATCTCGCTTACTACTCTTCAACGGATGTGTCCCGATCGCCTTGACGCCGACGTTGAACTTGGCGATGTCCTCGGAGTCTCGCACGCATCCGTTCACGATGACGCCGCTCCAACCGTTTCGCGCCGCCGTCTCCGCCAAGTTATCCCCGAGAAGCGCGCACCGCTCGCTCCCACCGCCGTCCACGACGAGCACTCGCCCGAGGCCAGGTTCCTCGAGCGCTAACCGCACGAGCGGGTTATTCTCGAAACACAAAACCGTGCTCACCTCGCCCCGAAACCGTCTCAGCCCGCCGTAGTCCTTCAACGCGTTCGCGCGCGCCACGCGTACGCGCGACGCCGACGTCCCGATGACGTCGTCCACGAGTCCAGGGTGATGGACATCGCATATATCGCTCGTCCCGAACCTCGCGGCGTTCGCGTCGGGCGTCCACGACCCATCGCGCGCGCCGCGAGACGCACTCGCGGTGGCGTGCGTCATCGCTCTCGACGCTCTCGACATCTCTCGGGCGATCGCGCGCGTCGCTCGACGCGCGATGGCGAGCGACATGCGTGGCGCGCGCGCGCGTCGCCGCTCGCGCGTCTCGTCGTCCGCGCGCGGTGACGGCGCCGCGCTGTGCGCCGCGGATGAAGCATTTTCCGTCACTCGGCTGACGTTCCGAGACATCCTTTTCGACGCCGCACATCGCGACGCGTCGCGTCGTTCGACGAACGATCGCGCGCGTCGTCCGAGGACGATGTCCGCGCGCGGTGTCCGCGCCCCCGTCGCCGTCGTCGCGAGAGACACGGGGAAAACGTGCGCTCAAAGGTGTCCTGGGGTTCGCTCGATGATCGCTCGGAGACGCGCCTTGGTCACCCCGCGCGCGTCGTCCACGGCGAAAGAGGCGGCGGCGACGGTGCGCGTGGATCTGGGCGATCGGTCGTATCCGATACTCATCGGGAGCGGGCTTCTGGACGACGGCGTGGCGTTGAGGGAACACGTGACGTCGTCCACGGCGCTCGTGGTGACGAACGAAACCATCGCAAAGCTCGGGTACCTGGAACGAACGGTCAAAGCGCTGGAGGGAGGAGATGAGAAGATTCGCGTGGAAACGGTCGTACTTCCGGACGGGGAGGAACACAAGAACTTGGACGTGCTGAACATGGTGTACACGCGGGCGCTGGAGACGCGTCTGGACCGAGGGACGACGTTTGTCGCCCTGGGCGGAGGGGTCATCGGAGACATGACGGGATACGCCGCGGCGTCGTACCAGCGAGGGGTGAAGTTCGTGCAAATTCCCACCACGGTGATGGCCATGGTGGACAGCTCGGTCGGGGGGAAGACTGGTGTGAACCACGCGCTTGGGAAGAATATGATAGGGGCGTTTTATCAACCCGAGTGCGTGTTGATCGACATTGACGCCCTGCAGACGCTTCCAGATCGCGAGTTTGCGAGCGGCATCGCCGAGGTCGTGAAATATGGATTGATTCGCGACGGCCCGTTTTTTGAGTGGCTCGAGGCGAACGTCGATAAGCTCTTGGCTCGGGATGCGGATGCCATTGTATACGCCGTCGAGCGCTCGTGCATCAACAAAGCCGAAGTTGTCGCGGCAGATGAGAAGGAGGGCGGCGTTCGTGCGACGTTGAACCTCGGTCATACATTTGGGCACGCCATCGAGACGGGTCTCGGTTACGGCGAGTGGTTGCACGGTGAAGCCGTTAGCGCCGGCATGTGTATGGCGGCGGACATGTCGCTTCGCCTCGGCTGGATCGACTCTTCGCTGAAGGATCGTACCATCAACCTGCTGAAGAAGTGCAACACCCCTATCGAAGTCCCGGAGGAGATGACGATACAAACCTTCATGGATCTCATGGCTGTGGACAAGAAAGCCGCGAATGGGAAGCTGCGTTTGATCCTTCTGAAGGGCCCGCTCGGCGAGTGCGTGTTCACCGGCGACTTCGACCAGACTAAACTGCGTGAAACTTTGGACGCGTACGTGAAGAAGTAAATCATGTTAAACACGACGAACTAATTGCTAACTAATCTCGTTTCGTCGGCGCGAATGGTGGCGGGGGACCTCGACCAGGATAGCCTCGACCAGGCGGTGGTGGTCCACGTCCCGGGTATCCTCGCCCCGGTGGTGGTCCGCGTCCTCTCCCGCCGTGTGGCGCTCCTCTCCCGGGTGGAGGTGGCCCGCGACCGCCAGCGGAATCTATAAACAGTGGCGCGCTCGCCTGCGGAGCGCGAGCTGCGAGCGATGCGCTCGGCACTGGACCTGTTCGCGCCCCTGGAAGTTGCTGCGCCGATTGCCACTGCGGCGTCATCGCGGGGTTACCCATCATCACAAACGGTGCGCTCTGGGCGCCAGATTCGCTGTCGATCCCGCCATCGCCCGGCATTTCGTCCATGGGCTGTCCATTTGGACCCGTTAGACTCGGTGTGCGCTGCATGATCGGATTCGCTCCGGGCCCTGGCGGTTGTGAAGGCTGGTTGACTGTTTGCGAGGGAGGCGCCTCACCGATATGCGGAGGCGGATTGCTCATCGACGTGTACGGGTTTCCGAACGGCGTCGGTGTCGGATAATGCGGCGAACCACCGCGAGGGGACGTGGCCGGCGACGGGATACCGTGAGCCATCGGACCAACGGGAGGAGCCATCATCATAGGTGGAGGCGCCGGGCCAGCACTGGAGCTGGGATTGACACGCGTCGCTTGGTCTCCGTACTGAAAAGGCGGGACATCGTTACGGCGAGGAGCTTCGGGTTGCTGAGGCATCCCAGGCGCTCGCGATGGCGGACCTTTCCACTTACCCTGCGCTTGCGAGGCCTTGCTCGATCCTCCGCCGAGTAAAACACTCACTACACGCATCAATATGAACGTCAAGATTATTGGCGGACCAAAAATTGTCGCATGTACGCTGAACTTTATCAGATCCTTATTGGATGCGATTTCTGTACCGACCATTGAGTCTACTTTCGACGCCACTGAGGTAAACATATTATCGCACTGTTCCATGAACGACAAAAGTTTATTACCGTGCTTGGTCTTCCACATTTGCTTGAGGATCAACTCCATGACTCTGGAGAGGATGCTGAACATCGACGAGAGGATGGTTGTAATCACGTTCGCCACTTTATCGATCACCGCGCGTGCGCTGCCTACCTCGGACGATTCCCGCTCTTCGTTGACCTCTTCGTCCCCGTCATTCCAGTTCAACTCTGCGAGTTCGGCCTTCGCAACTGTGTCCAAGTCGCCGTCACCTTCTGCGATGTCGTTTTCCAAAGCTGTTGGTACTTCGTGCGCGACGACGGGTACTTCATCGTGCACATGTTGCTCGGCGACGATAGTTTCTGTTTGATTCTCTTCGATTCCGGTGGGAACTTCAGTGGTCTCCTCAACAACAGCTTTTTCAGGCGTCTCCACGGGATGATCGGGCGGCACACTCAGATCGTGTGGAGCGACCTCATCTGCGCGTACTTCAACCTCACTGTTCATTCCACTTTCATCGACTTGACTCTTCTCGCGTGGTTCCATTATTTCCGCTTCATCGACTTGACCCTTCTCGCGTGGTTCCATTATTTCCGCTTCATCGACTTGACCCTTCTCGCGTGGTTCCACTATTTCCGCTTCATCGACACGCCTATCATCGATTGTTGACGCGGTGACATTCGATTCTATCACTTCCGCCGACTTGGAAACTTCTTCAATATTTTCATCAGACTGCGATTGCTGCGCGCATGGAGGACAGCCAGACTCCTTCATATCACGCTCTTCCTCCAAAGTCTTTTTTGTCGATTCCACTAGCTCGGTTTGCTCGCGGAGATCGCTCTTGGTGACGTTATGTTCCCGCTCGATTTCGTCGCATCTCTCCTTCTGATCCTCAAATTTGACCTCAGCTTCAAAAGTGCGCTGGCGCAAAGAGTCTGCTTGTTTCTGCAAGTTGTTCCGCAATTTGTTCAGCTGCGCGCTGCACTCATCTTCGCAGTGACAATCAGTAGCGATAGTGGGCTCGGGCTCGCGTTCAGAACATTCCTGGAGTGCCTTTTTGAGCTTCTGCACGGCATCGTTCTGAGCAGCGAGCGTGTTGCTGCACGCTGATTTTGCAGCCTCGCACTTCTTCAGCGCTTCGTCTGAGTTTTGCACTTTGTTGAGCGATTCGTGCAGAGTAAGTGCTTCGGACTTAGCACGTTCGAGCTCCAGGCGAGTATCATCGATTTCAGACGTCAAGAGGATTACTTGTGAGTTGACCTCGTCGAAATCTTTCTTTGACACCGCCGATAGAACGAGTTTGTCGTACTCTTCCCTGAGAAGGTCGTAATCCTCTTGCAGCGCCTTCATGTCGCCACCTGGGGCATGGGTCTGAGACTCCACGTTTCCAGGAGAACACGTCTCACCACTAGCGCGTAGCTCTTCCAACTCCGTAGTGAGCTGCCTAATGCGTTTCTCAGAGTCACCTGACAGTGAATCGGTGTTTGATTCGCCTTGTTCAGCGAGTTGACCCTCCAACTCAGCGATCTGCGTTCTGAGTCGTTCTTTTTCATCGACATCGTCTTCAGCATCGATCGAAATTTTGTCCTCCAAGGCATGCACCTTACGCTCTAGCTCCAAATTTTTCTCGTTTGCGCTTTGTCGCGCTTTGTCGAGCTGCGTCTCTAACACCTTCATGTTCTCCTCGAGAGCCACGAGCGCGCTTGCCTTCTCCTTCAACTGCTCCTGCAAATTCTCGGCGCTCGCAGAGCTACGATGCGCTTCGGTAAGTTGCGTCTCCAGATCAGCTATGTATGCGCGAAAATCTTCGCTCGCCTTCGACTCTTCGCTCGCCGCATCCTCTAGCTCGCTCAACCTACGCAGAAGCTCGTCGCGTTCGGCGAACGCTTTACGCTGTATCTCAATTTCCGACTGGAGCTCGGACTCAAGACCAATGACTTTATCTTCGGTCTCTTTCACGGTTTTCTTCATCGACCGCATCGCCTTACTCGTTTTCAATAACGAATCCGACACCGCAGCCACTGTCTCCACCGCCGTTGCGTCGTGCTTCACCGGCACTCTGTTCACGCTCAGCCATTCGCGAAGATAAAGCAACGCCGTCTCGGCGTCTGAATCTGGCGGAATCGAGACCTTTTGCGCCACCTTTGGCCGGAGTTGTGGCGCCGCTTCCGGTTCCTCTTCTGGCTCTGGCTTCCGTTCGGGTTCGGGATCGAGTTCCTGTTCCGGCTCCGGTTCGCGCTCTGGCTCTCGTCCCATACCATCATGCGCGTCGTACGTCCCCTCTATCGATCCCACGGACGTCTCATGCCCGTCTCGTTCGCGCGCCGCGTCGTACGCCTCCTCGCGCGCGCGCGACGTCGTCCCGTCCGTCATCGTTCCCTCATCAACCTCGCGTCTCCACCCCGCCTCGCCCCGCATTCGACCGTTCGCCCCGTCGTCGACGCGCGACGCCTCCTCAACGCGCGCGTCGTCTCGCCACGTCGCCGCGTCTTTCTCCATCGCGCGTCGCTCGAAAGCCGTCTCATAATCCGCGCTCGCCGCTCGCGCAAACGCCGCGAGCGCCGCCACGGTCGCGCACGCCCGCGCGACGCGACCGTACCGCCCTCCCGCGCGTCCTCGCCCCATCGCTCGCGTCGTCGAGGCGTCGTGTGCCGCGTCGTGTGTCGATCTCGCAACGACCGAACGATCTCGAGACGACCGATCGTCAGTATTCGTCCCTCGCCCGTCGCCCGATGTCGAGTCCGGGCGCGGCGACGACCGCGCGCGACGACCGACCCGCGACCGCGCGTTCGCTGGCGTCTCGCGCGCGAGAGGCGGTCGTCGCGCGCGTTCGAGACGCCCTCGGGCCGTCGCCGAGGCAGAGCATTTTGTCGACGCTGTCGCTCACGATGATCATCGCCACGGCGTTGATGCTGTGGAAGACGTTGATACTGTGCACGATGAGTGATTCGCCGATCGTGGTCGTCCTGAGCGGGAGCATGGAGCCGGGACTGAGACGAGGGGATCTGTTGGTGCTGGAGAACTGGCGGCGAGCGACGGAGATCGGGGAGACGGTGGTGTTCAACGTGCGCGGACGGGACGTGCCGATCGTGCACAGAATCGTTCGCGCGCACGGTAGAAACGTGCGCGGAGACGATGAGCGGTTGATGCTGACGAAGGGAGATAATAATTTTGCAGACGACATCGGTTTGTACGCTCCGGGACAGCGGTGGTTGACGGAGGAAGACATCGTCGGCCGCGCGTTTGTTTTTCTACCGCACGTCGGTCGGCTCACGATACTCATGAACGACTATCCCGCGTTCAAGGTGTGCTTACTCGCGGTCTTAGGATATTACGTCGTCACCGGGAAGGATTGACGATGATGTAGCGACGACTTTAGATTCTTTTGACTGCCCGTCCCGGTCGCGCGCGCGTCTCGACCGCACTCGTCGTCGCGTCGCGCGCTCGCGCTCGCGCTCAAGCCGCGCACCACACGCGTCGCGCACGTCGTGCGGTGGAGCTCGCGTCGAGTTCGTGCGCGCACGTCACGCGCCAAGGTCGCTGAACGACTCGGGGGGACGAGTCGAACCGTCTTCGAGTTCAACGTCATCGTCGAGTCGCTCCAGAGCGTCCGAACGCTCGCGATGGGGGAAAATATCTCCCCGGAGACCGTGTCGAGCATTATGCGACAGTTGAAGGACCTGATGCAGACGCCGGCGGAGGGGATTCGCGTGCGCGTGAACGAGGAGAACGTCACCGACGTCGTGGCAGAGCTGGACGGACCGGCGGACACGCCGTTCGAGGGTGGGCTGTTCAAGATGCGGTTAGCCCTACCAGCGGATTACCCAAACAGCCCACCGAAGGGGTTCTTCACGACGAAGATATTTCATCCGAACATTCGACAGCCGAGCGGGGAGATTTGCGTTAACACGTTGAAGCGAGACTGGCAACCGACGCACGGGTTGCGACACATTCTGATGGTGATTCGATGCCTGCTCATCGAGCCGTTCCCGGAGAGCGCGCTGAACGAAGAGGCTGGGAAGCTTCTTCTGGAGGATTACGACGAGTACTTTCGACGCGCAAAGATGTACACGAGCATTCACGCTAAGCCCGAAACGGCGAAGAGCGAAACCGCAGGGATGTCCGCGCCGAGCGAAAAGAAGGTGAATAAGAAGAAGAGTCTACGAAGGTTGTGAGTCGTGATAGTTACGAAGCGCGCGCGCGATCCGCGGTAGCGATTGAGGAGGATTTGTTCATTGTAGAGTCATCATCAATCATCGTTTCGTCTGAACATAAAAACGCGTGCTAATAAAGGCCCTAAACATCAATCGCCTCAGACGCTTACTTTTGGAGCGGAGCGTCTTGGGTCTTACCCGTGAATCGAGACGAGGATGAGCCGTCGTCGCTCTCATTACCCCAAGCCACGTAATCCTTCTTCGTCTTGAGCTTCTCGGTGAAGGAGCCTTCAATCTTCAAGCCGGCGTCGTCGCCGCCGATGACGATATCAATCACGCCGTACTGCTTCGCCTCGAGCGGAGACATGTATCTATCGCGATCAGTATCCTCATCAATCGTCTCCACCTTTTGTCCGGTGTGGAACGCCATAAGTCTGTTCAAGTTGGCCTTGTGATACATGATCTCCTTCGCCTGGATCTCGATATCCACGGCGCTCCCTTGCGCCCCGCCGAGCGGCTGGTGAATCATGATCCGCGCGTTCGGCATAGACATGCGTCGTCCCTTCTCACCAGAAGCGAGCAAGAACGCGCCCATGGACGCCGCCAAGCCGAGGCACACCGTGCTCACCGGAGCTCGGCAGAACTGCATCGCGTCGTAAATCCCCATCCCAGCCGTCACGCTCCCACCCGGAGAGTTGATGAAGAGCTTGATCTCCTTCGTCGGATCTTGCTGATCGAGCAATAACAACTGCGAGATCACCGCGTCGGCGTTGAAATCATCGACCTGGTGCCCGAGGAAGACGATGCGATTTTTCAGCAGCGCCCCGAACGGGTCCCCGCCCGCGCCGTCTCTCGGCATCACCGGTCCACTTCGCACGTCCATCGACGCGTTCACCGCGTTCACGACCTCCATCGCCTCCCTCGTGAACCCTCGGGAGTCACCCGGGGCGTCGTAAAACGCCCCCGAGCGCGCTCGCACGCCCCGTCGAGGTAAACCTAATCGCATCGTCTTTCCCTGTGTTCCTTCGCTCACACATCGCGTCGCGTTCGTTCGCGCGCGCGTTCGCGGCACCGTCGCGGCGAGCATCATCGTCACCGCCATTCGCGCGCGGCGTTCGCTCCAAGACGCGTCGCGCGGTGTCGCGTCGGGCGCTCGGGCCCGAGTCCCGGGCCGGGGGATCGGATGATGCGTGACGCCACCAATGTGTACACACCGTGACGCCACCAATGTGTACACACCGTGACGCCACCAATGTATACACACCGTGACGCCACCAATGTATACACATCAGCGCGTCGACGTCGACCGGGCGCGACACCGCGATGCGCGGCGCGCTCGAGCGAGCGATCGCGCGCTGTGGGATCGTCAATCGAAGCGGTGCGCGAACGTCCACGCGCGTCATGGCGGTGAGCGGACGGGGATACGTCCCGGCGCGCGCGGACGCGATGGATGGAATGGAGGTCCTCGCGAACGGCGCGGCGAGCGACGCGGCGACGATGGACGCGATCGTGTTCGCGGTGTGCGAGGAAGACGTGAACGCGGAGACGAGCGCGATCGAGAGCGAGGCGCTGCGGGCGTTCGACGCCAGGAGCGGTGGCGCGGTGTCGGAGATGATGGCGGAGGGGGAGTTCAAGGGAAAGGCTGGTTCGTCCGCGTTCTCGCGGGCGAGAGGTGGGAACGCGAAGCACGTCGGGGTGGTTGGACTCGGGAAGCGCGAGGAACGTGGGGTGAGCGTGATGATGGCGCTCGGGTCCACGGCGGCGGCGCACGCGCAAAAGAGCAAGTGCGCGACGCTCGGAATCGCGGGCGCGGCTGGGTTCGAGAACGCCGTCGCGGCGGGGGCGTATCTCGGCGCGACAGATGATCAGCGATTCAAGTCGAAGCCGCAGGCAAAGACGTTGAAGACAGTGTCTCTGTTGGACGTCACCGCCGACGTGTCAGCGGGTAAGGCGCGCGCCGTCGGCGTGCAGTTAACCAAGGAACTCGTGGCGGCGCCGCCGAACGTCGTCACCCCGACCGCGCTCGCGGAAACGGCGAAGGAAATCGCGGCCAAGCACTCGGACTGCATGACGGTGAAGATCTTAGAAAAGGCTGACTGCGAAAAGCTCGGCATGGGATCGTACTTGGGCGTCTCTGAAGCCTCAGATGAACCGCCCAAGTTCATTCATCTAACGTACAAGGGTGCGGGCAGCGATTTGAAGAAGGTTGCCGTCGTGGGCAAGGGTTTAACCTTTGACAGCGGTGGCTACAACCTCAAGGCTGGTGCGGGATCGATGATTGAGATGATGAAGTACGTAACAACTAACGATCCGGCGCGCGCGAAAACTGTGAGACGCGCGCAAAGAAGAGACCATGATGACTGACTATGTCTTTACTACGCAGATTCGACATGGGTGGCTCGGGTGCCACGCTTGGCGCCGCCAAGATCATCGCACAGACCAAGCCCGCGGGCGTTGAAGCGCACTTCATCATTGCCGCTTGCGAAAACATGATTGGTTCTCGCGGCTTGCGACCGGGTGACATCTTGACCGCTTCCAACGGTAAGACGATCGAGGTGAACAACACCGACGCCGAAGGTCGTTTGACTCTCGCCGACGCTCTTGTGTACGCCGATAAGACGTGCGGTGCGACCGCCATTGTGGATTGCGCCACGCTTACCGGCGCCATCATCGTCGCCCTCGGCGACGAAATGGCGGGCCTCTTCTCGCCGAAGGACGACGCGGCCAAACGTGTCGAAGCCGCAGCCAAGGCGGCGGGTGAGGATCTCTGGCGCATGCCCATGCCGGACTCCATGTGGGCCATTATGAAGTCTGAGATCGCCGACATGAAGAACACCGGGACTCGCGGCGGCGGCTCCATCACCGCCGCGCTCTTCTTGAAGCAATTCGTCGACGAAAGCGTCGAGTGGTCCCACGTTGACCTCGCCGGTCCGGTGTGGAACGACAAGAAGGGTGGTGCCACCGGTTACGGCGCCGCCACGTTCGCTGAGTGGGTCGCCTCGCACGGCAAGTAAACTGTCACTGTTTTATTCTTCAGATTTTCACCTCAACGCTCGCGCGACACAAGCCTCACTTCGAGTCATGCATCCTCACCCGCCGTCGCGTGCGCGTGCCATGCTCGTCGTCCTCGCCGTCTTCGCTCTCGCTCTGACCGCGTCCGTCGACGCGTCGTCGTACGACAAGCGTGCGATGCGAGAGACGGAACACAAAGATTCTCCGACTACGGTCGCACGCGCGCGGTTCCTCGCGTATACCTGGGGCATCGGCGGCGATCGAGTGGGTCGACCGTCGAACGACGCACCGACGCCGCCCGGGGCGGTGGAACTCGAGTCGAGCGCGGGCGACGTCTTAGCGATCGCGGCGAGCGGGCACACGGCGGTGGCGACGTCGAGCGGGCGTCTGTACACCGCCGGACGGAACGATTCAAGCGGCGGTGGGGGACACGGCTCGGCGGCGATCGATGACAGTGGACAGTTGGGACGTCAGGGAGCGCTCGGGGCGCTCGGTCGCGTGGAGGGAGCACTCGAGAAGGAGTCCGTGGTGAGCGTGGCGTGCGGGCGGTACCACACGACGTGCGCGACGGCGAGCGGACGCGTGTACTCGTTCGGTTTGAACGATGTCGGACAGCTTGGGACGAGTGGTGTCATGGGTAAGGCGCCAGATGCGAAGAAGCGATGCGATAGCGGTGGGAATTGCGACGGTTTAGAGCGAGACGCGAAGGCGCTCGCGGGTGAAGGAGAGAGCTGCTTCGGCGGAGCGGCGTGTAGGTCCGGGACACCGAGTCTGGTGACATTTCCAGAGGGTACCGGGCGCATTAAGAGTGTCGCTGCGGGTAGGTACACGAGCGCGGCCGTGACGACCGACGGCAGGGTCTTTGTGTGGGGACTGAACGCGTGCGGGGGCGCGAAAGGTGGCAGACAGTCGTTACTCGACGATGCCCGAGCCGCCTCGACGCCGCGACCGATCGACGGCGTACGCGAAGTCGAGTTTTTGGATATTGGATACACGAGCATGATATTTCTCACGAAAACAGGTGAAGTTTTCACGTGTGACACTGGGTTCGATGGCTACGCGAGAGTCGCCGAGAAATCGGACGAGAGCATCACGCCGCATCCGACGTTCGCCAACGACCACGCAATCGATGTCGCCGCGGGACGATGCCACTTCGCGATCGCGACAAAATCGGGCGCTCTCTTCACGTGGGGCTGCAAAGCGCTTGGTCGTGAGGGGAGCACCGAAAAGCCCGCCCGCGTCGTCGGCGACTTGTCTTCGCGGCGCGTCGTCTCCGTCGCTGCCGGCGAGTATTTCACCCTCGTCACCACCATGGACGGTGAAATCTACGGCGCGGGCTCGAACGGGAACGGTCAACTCGGGACGGCACCCGAGTCAACGACGGAGTACGCGACGTTTGAGCGCGTTTCGCTCGGCACGCAAGCGGGCGACGCGCTCGCCGTCGCCGCGGGCTACCAACACTCCATCGCCATCGTCGCCGCGTCGACGTAAATCCGTTGTAACTCGTATTCACTAGCTCTGGATCGTTCCCACCACACGTCTCGCCCTTCTGCGTCTCCTCCCGTTTCTCAAACAAATATTCGAATCGCTCTCAAGCGTCAACGGTATCCACATCCAGCTCCACCGCACACTCCCGCGCGGCGCGCCCCGCCCGCGCGCGACATCGTCGCATGAAATCACCTCCGAGAATACCCTCGGCCACGTCGCTCGCCGCGCGCTCGCGGACGTCGCGCGCGCCCACGCTCGTGGTTTCAAACTCGAACGCGAGACCGTTTTCGTACTATCTCCACGAGGCGCGTGCGATGTTGCGCGAGCACGGGAGCGTGAAGCTCGAAGGCGTGGGGGCGGCGACGCAGCACGCGCTCGTGGTGAGCGAAGTACTTTCGCAGAGAGGGATCGGAAAGGTGACGGCGGTGCGAACGGGAACGTTGGATTCGCCGAGGGGCGCGTCCGAGCGCGGCGACGAACACGCGGCGAAGATCGAGGTCACCATCCACGGTCTCGCAATGTAATATGTAATACCACGTCGTACGTCGCTATCGATCGGCCTGGTGCGTCTACGGTGTCTATCGCTACGCGCGCTCGGCGCTCGCTTCCGGGAACGCCCGGAGTTCGCGGTGCGGCTTGGGCGCCTTCGGGTTCCCTCGCACGTAAAAGTCCTGAAACAATCGAATCGCCTCCGTCTCGAATAACCCACCGACGCTCTCGTACGTCGCGCCTTTCGTCCCGACCCCGTCGCAGCGCCCGCACCCGCTGTCGTGCACGTCGAGCACCGTTCCGTTACCGCCAAACTTGTCGTTCGCGCACCCGTACACGACGCGTCGCACCCCCAGCGCGCTCATCGCCCCCGCGCACATCACGCACGGCTCGCACGTGACGTACAGCGTCATCTCCTCGAACCCACACGCGTCGACGTCGCCGTCGTGCGCTCGAAGAAGCGCGTCCACGGCCTCGAACTCGGCGTGTCGAGTTCCGTTCCGAGTTCGATTCGTCGCGTTTCGTCCTCGCGCGACGATCTCACCGTCGCGCACGAGCGCGCACCCGCACGGCACCTCCCACGCGTCCAACGCGCGACGCGCCTCGCGCAGCGCCTCGCGCATGTGCGCCCGGTCGGCGTCGGTGAAACCGTCGTGCGCCATGCGCGGGCGAATGCGGGACGTCGAGGCGTCGATCGAGACCCGCGTCACCATCGCGCGCGTCGACGCGCGCGCGCTCGAGATGAACGACGGACCGACGTACTTTTACATCGACCCGCACGGGCGCGAGCAGGGGCCGTTCGCGTTCGCGGACGTCTTGAAGTGGTTTCGCGCGGGATATCTCTCACCGACGCTCGGTTGTCGACGCTCGGACGAGACCGCGTACGCGCGGACGGTGACGGATGCGGTGGTGGCGGACGCGGCGATGCACGGCGTGGCTTTGAGCGCGCTCGGGACGCGGACGAGGGGTTCGGACGGTGCGCGCGGGCGCGAGGGGGCGGCGAGCGGGACGAGCGGATTGGTGAGCGTACCGCCGCCGCCGCCGCCGCCGCCGGCGGGACGGTCGGAGGATGAGATCGCGCAGTGCATGGAGCGGTTGATGGAGGTGCTGGATCGCGTGCTGCCGATCGTGCTCGAGGGAGGGCTCAGGGAGGAGTTTGGGCCGGTTTGGGAGGATATGTTGCGCACGCCGCCGCCGTGGACGTTGGAGACGACGCTTCGCGAGCTCAAAGCGAACTGGGGATCGCTGTTTAGCACTCAACCGCGACGAGCGAATGAGATCCAGACGTTGTTAGACGCCGCGATACGACAACGAAAGAACCTAGCCATAGCACCCGGGTCACAGTCCAAGGATGTGTCGAACGCAGCCGTATGTCTCCTGGGCGCGTGTCCGAAGACTTTTCCGCCAGCCGTCATCGAGGAGCTTCGAATCGCTTGGGAGGAGTGCGAGAAGATTCGAGCTTACTTGAACTAGAGTCTAGTTAGACGGCGTTTCATAGCAACGCGCGGCGTTGAATTCATGTAAGGCTATGCTTCTAGCGTCTAAAGGCTGTGCGTCATCGAAAGCGAAAAGTGGCAAACTGTCGGCGAACACGCGCGGCACCAATACCGCCGAGTGCGGACGAAGAGAGATTTCTAGATCTTCTAACGACTGCGTTCCGACCAGTGGGCGCTCGAGCTGACATCGAGGCGCTCACGGAGAACGAAGACGGCTTTTCCAAGCCACATCGCTCAACCGTGACACGCTGGACCGTCTCCCCACTCTGTCGCGCGTCGCCGAGCTTTTGAAGAGCGCAAAACACGTCATATCCTTCTATGATTTGTCCGAACGCCACGTGACGATCGTCCAGTTGATTCTTCTTATCGAACGTGATCATGAACTGCGAACCGTTCTGTCCGGGCACTTCGCCGCCGTTGTTATGCATCGTCAACACCCCGGCGCCGCTGTGCTTCAGATCGTAGTTCTCGTCGTCAAAGTAAGCGCCGTAAATACTCTGACCACCCGGCATCGCATCCGGGAGCAAGTTTGCGAAATCGAAATAATCTGGATCCTCCGCGTTGTACACCACCTCGTCCAGTTTCGTGAAGTCTCCGCCGACGACCCAGTTCCCTGGGTACACCTTGAACATCGTTCCCGCGTAGCACCCGTACTCGCACAACTGCATGAAATTCTTCGCCGTGATCGGGCACGCGTCCTCTTTAATCTCGAACACCACCTTTCCTAAGTAGTACCCGCCCGCGCGCAGGTCGAAGAAGCACCTCGGATTCGCCTCGTTCACCGCGAACGGAGGTTCATACTTCACCGGCGTGATTTTCAGCGGTTCGGCGCGCGACACCCTGGTCTCCCACTTCACCGCGTACACCCCGCCGGGGGCGAGCGGAAGGATGGACGGGATGTCCTTCTGTCGAGCTTGCTCGAGCGGGGTCTCGTCGGGCGCGCTCATCTTTCGTCCGTTCGTTGAGTGAAAAGCGACGATGACGGTGGGTGAGCACGCGAGTGGGTCCTATATAGTATTGGCGACGCGTGGTACGAGTTTGGAGCGACGACGGGGGCCACGAGCGTCGGTGAGTGGTGACGTGCTCGTTTGGCTCACTCGGTCGTCGTGCGGATAGCGCGCCGCCGGCGACGACGACAAAAGGAAATGGTATAATCTCTATCGCAATCGTGACTATATTTCACTACGCGGTCGTTCTACCGCAAATCAACGCTCTTAGGGTTAGGAATGCAGTGCGTCGCGAGGATATCCTTCGTGCTCTTCTTCGCCTCCTTTTGTGCGAGGACGAGTTGCATGGATTGGTCGAGCTCGATCTTGAGGTACTCGTCTTTGCACTCCTCGATGATTTTGACGAGCGATCTCAGGTTGTTGATCGGTCGACCATTGACACCAGTGACAATGACGTTTACGATGTCTTCGTACCCGATATTTATGTCCGAAGAGAGCACCTGCGAGACGACGACGACTTGGTCGTCCTTTTTCTCCTTGTGTCCGTGCATCATCTTCATGAGCAACCGAAGCGGAGCATCGTAGTCGTAATCCTTACCGTATTCGGATCTCAAATACGGGACGGTCACGACGGCGAAGACGATGCCCGCGCAAATGTAATACGAAGGCGGCACGCCTTCGATGTGCACGGGTACAAGGCGGTCGTGCATGGCCAACCCGACTTTGAAGTCAATAACCTTCCCGCCCCGGAACACCGTTACCGAAGCCGCATCGCCAACGTATTTACGGCTCACGAGGTATGAGAAATTGATGCGCTCGCCCGTTCTGAATGCCACGGTCCCATCGGAGGCGACATCCACTCCGTCGAATTTCATCAACACGTCGCCGCATTTTAAGACTTTCGCCGTGGGCGAGAGTGGGGAGATTCTTCGCAAGAGCACACCCTTCTGCGTGGACGTCATCCCGAGACTCTTCCGCAGAGACGGGTTCTCTAATCTTTGGAATTCACACTGCAGGGCCGGGAATCCGTTGTACTTCCCCGTGCGATCGAAGTCGGAGAGGAAGTGGTCGATGACTGGCGTGGGGATGATGTAACCAATGTTCTCCGTGTCCGAATCCTTTAGCGATTGAAACGCGACGCCCACGCACTTACCCTCGCGATTAAACGCGGGTCCTCCACTATTCCCACTGTTGATCGCCGCATCGATCTGTACTCCCAACAGCTCCGCGGCGCCGTGCGAGTACGACGTCACCTCGATACGCGAGACGACGCCGGACGTGACGCTGATCGCGATCCCTCCCACCGGGTACCCCACCACCGTGACGCTATCCTGCAATCGAGGTAAAATCCCGAACCGCACCGGATCCACGTCCTCGAAAAACTCCTTATCCTCCACCGTGAGCAACGCGAGGTCGCACTCGACGCCGATCGCGAGCACTTTCGCCACGTACTTCTTATCGCTCCCCCTCTTCTTCAGCTTCACCTGCGTGTGATGCTCCACGCTGTGCGCGTTCGTCAACACCCGATTCCCATCGATCACGAACCCCGTGCTCGTGCTCGAGCTCTGCCGCTTACGCTGCCACGGGAGCGAGTAATTCGGCTCGGTGTGCGTGCAGAACACCTTGATCACCGCATCGATCGGGTACTGCGGCGCGTCGTCGTCATCGCTCGCCCACCCATCGCCCTCGACGCCGAAGTAATCGATCGCGCCGAGCTCCGAGCTCGTGGTCTCGCTCGACCGTCGCGTCTCCGCCGCCTCGTCGCCCTCGCCGCCGCCCGGCGTCGTCGTCGTCGTCGTCGTCGTCCGTCGCCCCGCCCGCGTCCCACGCGCGCGCTTCCTCGGCGTCGTCACCGCCGCATCGCTCGCCCGTCGCTTCGCCGCCATCGCGCGCGCGCGTCGTCGTGCCGTCGCGCGGGGCGTGACCCATCCATCGGTCGTCCCGTGGGCATGGGAAACACCCGAGACGACACCCACCCGCCGCCGACGTCCCGCACAGCGCCCCGCGCGCGAGCGCGGAGACCATGACCGCGGTCGCCGCGAGCGGGGACGTCGCGAACGCCCTCGCGTACGTCCGCGCCGTGCGCGAGCGCACGGACGGGGCGCGATACGCCGAGTTCCTCGATGCGATGCAGGCGTTCAAGCGCGGGACGTGCGTGGACGCGATGCGCGACCGCGTGGGCGTGAACGCTCGCGCGCGCGACCTCGCGCGCGGACGCGCGAGCGATGGGACTGACACGGGTCGCGCGCGCGCAGGATCACGCCCGGAATCGTGGTGCGACGCGTCCGGGCGTGCCTCAAGGGACACGACGATTTATTGGACGGCTTTCGAGCATTTCTCCCAGAGGTACCGCCTCGCGCGCGCGCGCGCGGGCGAGGACGAGGACGACGACGCGTGATCGACGCGTGATCGACGCGCGCGATCGACGCCGCGCTGACCGCTCGCGATTGGCGCGCCGTAGGGGTACGCGACGACGCGAGACGTCCCGAGCCGGGCGCGCGGGACCAAGGCGGGCGGAAGCGGACGCGGGCGACCGCGAAAGGTTCGCCCGGACGACGACGCGGACGAGCGAGAGGTGCGTCGACGGCGCGGACGCGGGCGCGCATCGACGTCGACGCGGGTGTTCGTCGACGCCGTCGCGGACGCGCGGCGGGAGGCGAAGAGACGGCGCGAAAATCCACACGGGGGACTCCACGACGAGTGCTGACCCGTGGATATGCCAACGCCACGTCGACGGGGTTTTTTTAAAACGTCGCGGATGATGGACGAGGGGGTCTTCTTGAATCATGACTGGAGATGACACGAAACGGCGATTTTTTCCGCCAAGGGCGAGAGAGGGGCGACGACGGCGCGACGACGGCGACGGCGACGACGACGGGCGAGATGACTGACCGGTGCGTGGGGCGATGGGGTGTTTTCGACGCAGGCGCCGGTGAACGATACCAGGTTGGCGAGCGGGCAAGACTTGCTCCAGAGGATTCGCGCGACGTACGCGGATGAAATCGAGGTGTACGACGCGTTCTTGCAGACGCTCATTAAATTCAGGAATAAACAGTTTAGCGCCGAGGAGGTGGTTCAGAAGTGCGCGGTGCTATTTTATGATAATCCACAGTTACTAGAGGGCGAGGATGGACTCGCAACGTTCGTGCCGAAGAGCTGCAAGCCGCCGAGGCGGTCATCTTGGTTTGAGTGGCGACCGTCGATACACCATCGCTTCGGAAGCGAGAGCTTCCGGTTGTTCGTTCGAACGCTTTTGATGTGTGAGTACAGGAGTCGAGGAAATCCACCGGAGCCGAACATGCGACGTTGGCGGCTCATGGATGACGACAGCGACGAATCGGACTCGGATGATTATTCGTCGTCGGAAGAGAGCGAAGACGAGAGCTCGGTGTCGATCAAGAAGGAGTGCGGGACGCTCCGTCCGGAACAGATTCCGGAAAAATACAATGGTCCGCGTCACGAGCGAATACTGAGTAATTTCGAACGGCTCACGTTGGAGCTCAAACCTAAGGATGAAGAGTATTGCTGGGCGGACACGAAAGCGGTTCGGCAAGCGAGGGAGAGCAAGGAGGAAATTGATCTCCGGGGCAAGCGCGGTCGCGGAGAGGAGCGAGACTTCACACACACACCACGAGAGTCACCTTCACCACCGCCATCGTTCCGTAAACGACGCGCGAGCGCGCGAATCACCGCCAAGGTGAACCGAGGAATCGTGTACAATCGATATCGCTCGCTCACGTCGCCGGACGGCTTGGGGCGGGGCGGTAGGATGCGAATGACTCGGTCCATGGGCACGGTGGACAACGATTTGCCCGCGAAGAAGAACGTGAATTTGACAATCTCCCGCGATGAGTCGAAGATGTCGCCGCTGTGCGCCGAGCGCGTGGGATTACACTCCCTTCCGGCCAATGTCATCGAGCTCATCATATTGAAGTACGCAACGCAGGAGGGAGACGCCGAGTTAAACCAGATTCGCGAATTTCTCGTGAAATCGCTCACGAAGAGCAGGCTCAGTCGATGATATCAACTGCAATGGATCCATCGCCGCGATAGATGCGTCGTGTATTGATATCGTACAGATTAAAAAAGCAACGCTACTCCCGCGCGGTTCGAACCCTACCTCGCCGCGCGATCGTCCCCGGACGCGTCCTCCATCGCTCGCGCACCGTCGCGCGCGTCCATCGTCGACGTCGACACCTCAGCGCGACGTCACACGTCCCCGCCGCGCGTCTCTAGTGTCCACCGGGGTGTAAAAACTTGCTCGCCTTTTTCTGTTCCTCGGTGAGCCCCGCCGTGGTGTACACGATCGCGCACCCGACGACGCCGATGCCGGTGAAAAAAGGCCACTGCTTGGCGAGCGCGGCGAACATGACGCCTTCGTGCGTTCGAACGGTCGACCGAGGGGCGTCCGCGGTGACGCGCGAGGGCGACGAGGTGGGAAGTGACGATCGCCGACGCGCGATCGAGGGGACTCGAGTGGGAATTCGTCACACACGGACACTTCGTGACGCGCGACAGGGACGATATGTCCAGCGACGAGGCGCCGTACGACCATCTGGTGAAGATACTCCTGGTCGGTGACAGCGGGGTGGGGAAATCGTCCATCGTGACGCGATTCGTGAGCGATTCGTTCGAGGAACTGAGCCCGACGGTGGGCGTGGACTTCAAGTTGAAGCGATTGGACGTGGACGGGAAGCGGTTGAAGCTCACGGTGTGGGACACCGCGGGACAGGAGCGGTTTCGCACGCTGACGAGTTCGTATTACAGAGGAGCGCACGGGGTGGTGTTCGTGTACGACGTGACGAGCGCGGCGTCGTTCGCGGCGTTGCGGGAGACGTGGCTGAAGGAGGTGGACATGTACGGGACGATCGAGAGCTCGGTGAAGATCGTGATCGGAAATAAGATCGATAAGGACAGCGAGCGCGCGGTGACGCGGGAGGAAGGGGTGGCGTTCGCGAAGGAAAACGGGTGCTTGTTTTTAGAGTGCAGCGCAAAGACGAAGGTGCGCGTGGCGGAGGCGTTCGACGAGCTCGTCAAGGGCATCTTAGAGACCCCGGGGCTGTTGGTGGACTCGAACGACGGCGAAGATCGGGTCAAGCTCGGTGCTTACGCCGATCACGCGGGGAGCGGGTGCTGCTGATGTGCTGCGCAGTCGGTTTGGTTTACACGATATCGACGTTTTTAAGGGAACAAACATTGTAATCTAGAGATTTAGTATTGAACGAGTTCAAAAGCTACAGGCGACGCTCGGACGAGGGAAGTGCGAGCGAATGTGAGTGTACATGCCGGCGTGACGCCGCCGCTTAAGTGGGAACAAAGGCGAGCGACTCCCAGCCAGGTCTATCGGATCGCTCGTCTAAAGAGGAGCGGCGATGACGTCCTCGTAGCGCTTGATCGTGGTCATCAAGGAAAGATCGAAGTACTTTTCACCAATGCTCGCTGTCAAACCACCAATGAGACGCGGATCAACAATCGCGTCAATCTTGAGCGTCGATCCCGGCGGCGCGTGTCCCTTGATTGAATCCGTGACCTTGGTGAGTTGCGCTGGGGTGAGCTCTTGCGCTGTCGTGATCACGCACTTGACCTCGTTTCTCGACGCCATGCACTGCTCTTCGAAGCGGAGAGCGATCTTTTGGAGTTCTTTCAATCGCCCGTTCTCCGCCATGACCTCCAAGAAGTTGCTCATGGTCGACGTGAACTTTGAGCCCGCGCAGAACTCCTTCACACCCGCCAACTTCTGACTCTTCTTCATCGCCGGGTCCATCAAGAACTGCTTAAACTTAAGATCCTTCGCCACCAAACTCGTGAGCTGGGACAAACGAGATCGTAATCGCTCCGTCAGTCTCCGTCGTTTGTCTTCGTAGTAGAGACCCCCTCGCGCGCGTCGTCTCGCTCGTCGCCTCCCGTACCTGTTCGAGTTCACCTTCGACGGTCTTCAAGTTTCCAGCCTTCGTCGCCGCCACGTACAACGCCGTGGCGTATCGTCCGCTCGTGCCGAACTGTTGCACAGGCGCCTGCGACCGATCCATGGACAATTCCATCGGCCAAGTCAGTCGTTCGTTCGATCGAATCTCCCACGTGCCCGCCAGTCTCGCGGAGCTTCTCGCGCATCGATCGGCATCACATCGCGCGCGCGTATACGACGCACCCGAATCTCCTTCACCGGCGCCCCTCCCTTGGTCGCCGTCGCGTACGCGCGCTGTCCGAGCGACGCACGCCGAGGTCAGTCCCCGGCTCGATCGCGCGCGGTCGAACCCATCGCGCGTCGCGTCCCGGTCTCTTCCCCCCCCGCGCGTCGCGCGCATCGACGACGCGCATTATTCCGCCCCGAGCGCCGCACCTCGATCGCCACGCGCGCGCTCGCGGCGCGGCTCAGTCGTCGCAACATCGTCTCGCGCGACGCAGTGGGGTCGCGCGCGCCCCTCGCGCGGAGTGATCGCGTCGTATCATAGACGATCGATCGCCATCATTCACACGCGCGTCGGCGTCGCGCGCGCGCGTCGGCGACGGCGTCGGATGGACCCACCGTACGGGGGATCGGGGAGATAAAAAATCGGTAGGGTTCGGCGAGCACGCGCGCAACACCCAAGGCGCGGTCGACGCACCGCGCGCGCACACGACGACGTCTCGCGCGCGTGTTCGCGCGCGTGTTCGCGCGACGACGCGAGCGATGCCGGGGGTCGATCGCGCGGGCGTCGCGCGACGGTCGAGGCGCGGGCGACGCGCGCTGCGGACGCTCGCGGCGGTGATCGCGTCGGTGGCGCTGAGCGAGCGCATCGCGCACGCGCGGGCGGGGAACGTCGCGAGCGCGGTGTTGCGAGCGACGAGCGGGACGCCGAGCGGGACGAGCGATACCGCGTCGGTGGCGGTGGCGTCGGATGGGTCGACGACGACGACGACGACGGCGAGCGAGAGCGATGGGGAGGTGGCGGAGGAGTTGGACGCCGCGCGAGGCGAGAGCGCGACCGCGGCGGCGATTCGGCGAGGCGCGAAGGTGCGCTTGACCGAGGCTCGAGCTCGGGAGCTCACTCGAGGACCAATGATGGCGATATACGGCGGGTTGGAGGAGACGGGCGTGACGACGAACGCGCTGGACGTGCTCGCCGGGAGCTCGAGCGGGGACTACTTGGTGTGGTGCCACCGCGGCGATCACGTCCCCGCGGGCGCGGCGCCTGCGCTCGCGAGTATGGGCACGGCGACGCACTCGATCGATGGTAAGGCTTTCTTTCACGGTGGATACAAGATCTGGGACAATGGAAGCGAATTTGAGGATGTGTCGACGACGCACTCTTTCAACATGAAGGAGGGCGCGTTCGAGTGCCTCACCGCGGGCGACTCTAAGGATAGCAGAGCCGCGCTCGGGAAGACACATGGTAAGTGCCCCAAACTTGGTGGCATCCAGACGGGTAAGCGTGACGAGGAGGTCGCGGTCGTGACGGCGAGGCCGATTCGTTTACCGAAAGTGACCGGTACAAGCGCGGAGCGCCAGCATGTGGCCGCGCTCGGTAAGCATATGGCATCGCCGGAACTCCCAGCCTTGGACGTCGACGAAGACGAAGACGAGAAATCGTCCGCGAATGTTGAGGCGACTGATGCCGACTTGGGTAGTCAAGAAAAGCAACACGCGTTGATTATTTTCGGTGGTCGCGATGAGAACGACGAGCGTTTGGATAGCGTCTACGCTCTCGGTCTCAGCGACAAAAAGTGGCGTAAAATTGAATACGAGTTGCCACCGCAACGCGATGATATGGTTCCTCAGGGGCCATTCGAGATGCCGCTTATCATTAAGAACGCCCACAAGGACGGCAAGCCGTTTCCTCTTGGAAGATCTGGCGCAACTGCGGTGGTGACGAAGGACAACAAGATGATCATCTATGGTGGGTTCGTCGTGGAAGGTCGACTTGGATTTAATGTCGGCGAAACGCTCGTGCTCGACTTGGACAACATGAAGTTCAGCTATCCGATGGCGAGCGGTAATATCCCTGTCCGTCGTAATAAGCACTCCGCTGTATTGGATGATAAGGACCGCATGTGGGTATGGGGTGGCTCCGTCTGGGATCACACTGGCGGTAGCTCGACGTATGCGTCAACCGCCACCTATTACGCCGACGTGAGCGATACAAAGTCGATCGTTTGGCATCGGGTTGAGACAAAGGGTAAACCACCGAGCCAGCGACGTTTCCACACCGCGCTAATCCAAGACGGTGGCTTGTACATCATCGGTGGTGAGGATTATCGCACTCGCACGTACTTGAGTGATGTCCATAGACTTGATCTCAACTCTCTCACTTGGACCCAGCCCGCTGTCCTTGGCGGCATCAAGGGAGGCAGGATCCGTGCCAGCGCGTTCACATGGATTTCGGACGCTCCTGACGAGGAAACAGCGAACAAGGACGCCGAGCAAGAGCGTCAAGCGAACCTCGGTCGCTCTCATCACCGCAGCTCGTACGATGATGGTGAAGATGACGACGAAGCCAAGCACATGTCAAAGCACGATGACGGTGAGCATAAAAGTCAACACCGAACCGACCACAAAGTCAACACGGATGAAGGTGATGTGGAAGAAACATCTGTTAAGGGGGTGGAGAAGAAGTCGAGCGTCAAAGTTGAAGAGGACAAAGAACCCTCGACGCCGCGCGCGACGACGGATAAGGATGAATCGAAAGATGACACCGATTCCGACGCCGAGAAGGAGACTGCGCACCTTGGCATCATTGACCCCGCGACGTGCGGGACTGGAGAGCCAGCGCGCGTACGCACGGGGGAGCATCAGCCCGACATCGAGCACCTAGTCTCGGTTCTTGTTGATGGTTCTAAGGCGCCTTCTGAGAACGGTGAATTGGGTGAAAACACAGATCCAAACAGTGTTTCGACTCGTCTTGCGAAAGACGGTTGGCTTCCGAACACTGCACGTGGCTCGTCCATTATGACAGAGTCGAGTATGATTTGGCGAAAAGCACCGGATGTTGGTGCAAGTGAGTCTCTTCCTGGATGGGTCAGTGACGAAGCTGGCCGTGATAAGTCAATTCTCACCGAGACTCTCAGTGCTGATCCAGAAGCGTCGAGCATCGAGTCTCGTCTTCTGGAAGCTGTCAAGTCCGCTAGCGCTGCGAACACGAGGCTCAAAGCGAACGGGCCTGGCAAAGACGAAGAAAAGACCAATGATGTGAAAGCGACAAAAAAATCCGATGACGACGATGACGACGATGAGAAGGAATCGACGCCAGCAGTCGTGAAATCCGATGAGACGAAGCATAAGAATATTGAAAAGCACGCGAAGGGAGATGTCACTCACGCGACGACTTCGAAGGAGAAATCAAAACCTCATGACGACGACGACGACGACGACGACGACGACGACGACGACGACGACGACGACGACGACGACGACGACGACGACGACGACGACGACGACGACGACGACGACGACGACGACGACGACGATGATGAGACCGAATCGAAGAAAACTCACAGGAAACACGAGGATGCGGACGATTCTGACCGACCCGCTCACAAGAAACACGACTCGGAGAAGGACGTATCGAAGCACAGAAAGCACGATTCAGAGGAGGATGAGGACGATTCTAGTCACAAGCACCATAGTTCGCACAGTCCTCAGAAAAAGGAAGCCGAGGAAGAAGGCAATCACCGTTCCCACGACAGTTCTCATGTGCATCTCTCCGCAGCGGCGAGGATGTTAGAGAAGATCAGTGCAAGGAACGCTAAGGAATCAGCGGAAGCCAGTCTGGGGAGAGTTAATGATGTTGTCAGGCGTGAGAGTTCAGAGCCTCGATACGAAAAGTACTTCTGGAGTGGACTTGCGGTCACCGCACTTGCGGCGGCTCTCTTCATAAACACTCGAGCCATGCGACGACGATCTGAAAATTCTGTTGAGAGGATCCCTCTGGTTACGAGTTCTTCGTCCATATTTGAGTCGCCCAACAGGAGTGCCAAGTGGCAACGAGAAGCGATGGCTCGTCGAGGTTACGCCGAACAGTACTCTAGAGGATTCGGAACGAGTGATTCTGAGGCCAGCGCTGTGTGATGATTTGTTTTGCATTTCAAACTAGCTACCGGTACCCGTTACCATGTCAAGCCCTAAACATCCTCCATGTATTTACTACCGGAATCGTCGCCGACCAAACGCTCACGGCTCTCGTCCTCCGCACTAAACTTCCCCTTTGCGATAGCCACAAGCATCGCACCCAAAACAATAGCCCCTGCGCCCATAACCGCGATGACGCTGAAATACCTCCATTCGTCATCTCCCCTGAGTTGCACCGTTTCGTCGCGGCCAGGCAAGTGAAGTTGGAAGTACGACACGTCTTTGCCGAGCTCGCCGTTTGTTGCACTCTCCTCCGATTGTAAAATCCATCCTTCCGTCGGCATTTCAACGAGAGCCTCACTTTCACCTTGCACGATCGACACGTTCGTCAATGGTTTCTTTACGTCATCGAATGCACATTCCGCATCGGGCGTGAAAGTGCATTGCGAAAAGCCAGTCGGCGCGCACTTGAGCGCGTACATATTAGTTCCGTATCTGCCGTCCTTTGTGCTCCAGAATCGCGAGGACACCACGTCTTCACCACATCCCTGTTCAACCTTACAGGTAAACACGCTATGCGCAATATCCCCTGCGTCTTGCTCGATGTCGTTAATTTGCTTGTTGGTTAGCGTCAGTTTTCCATGATCGTTTTGGATCATGGCCGAAATGTTCTCTGAAGTATACTTGTCCGAGGTACCGTACTGGCTCGCCTTGATCTTGATGGCTTCATCGTCGTCGCAAGAATTCACGATCCCGAGTTCCGGACAAAATCGTGCGCCGTGTCGACGAAGGTTCAGATCGTCGCATTTGTTCGAGCGAGAGTTGCGAACGTTGAAGCACTGCCCGATTTTGAGATGCGGCGCGCACGAGCAAGAGCAGGTGCCACTGTAGCGTTGGGTGTCGTCAGCTGTCCACGTTTGCTCTGCGCCCTTCGCCGCCGCAGTGCTCGCCTTGGATTGATCGATCTGATCCTGTGGAATAGAATTCACCAAAGCCTCCATCTTGTCGTTGTGAGAGTCTTGAGCCTGGCCAAGATCTGGCACATCAGTCAGCGGTACAAGCTGTCTTCTCTCTTCTTGTTTGTGATGAAGGCTGTGCCAGACGCTTTCGTAGTTCGGTTTTCGGTCAGCGGCAAGACCACCGCGTTTATGCGTCAGTTCGCGCATGAGCTCAGGCTCGACGATGAGCTTGATGAATTTCCACGTACGCTGCACGGCAAACAAATCGTTTCTCGGAAGAACACTACGCTCAGATTCGGGCAGCTTGGCTTGCTTGATGGCTTGACTAGCAGCCGGGCACTGCGGAGGAGACGCCCACGTCGTCCCGAGACTCACGACGATGGCCCGCTTGCTCGGAATGGTAACCAACATCGAGCCCAGATCACCAACATTGAATAGGACGTCGTAATCTGGCTCGTCTTCCTCGAGCACCGGTCCTTCGCTGGCCGGGCAGTCGGCACCCAAGCCGCTGACTTGCTCTGCCTTCGACGTCTCAACCTTTGGCATCTTCACCGCATTGACGTTATAAACGAAGCCGGCGAGTCCGAAATGTTGCGTCGCGAGCGGATAGTTCGGCTTCTGCAACGCACGAATGATCGAAGGGCTGACGAGCTGCTTTGTCGTACCATCCGCCAACCGCCACTTTCCTTCGTTTACGATGAGCTGGCCGAAACGCGCGATGTCTCGGCAGCTCGCCATCTGTCCACCGACGAACGATATGTCACCGTTTGCACCGCTACCCGTGGCGAAAAAGTTTCTCAAGCCAATCGGTTCAGCGAGGTGGGCCTCGGCAAAGTCCACGGGTCGCTGCCCAGTGGCGCCTCGCAAAACAGAATTCAATCGCATCAACGGAGACGTCTTCTCGTCATTCATCTTTCCATCGTCGCTGAATACCGTCCCGGGCTCCTCGGAGCCGTCTGAACTCACTTGCGCTAAGAGTTGCCGCACCGTGAGCCCTTCCCAATAGTGCGCGTTCCACGTAGGCGGCGTGTCTCCGCCGTGCGGTGTCGCCCGGTTCAAGTACTCGATCACCGAATCATCCAGCTCCAAATCGTGCCTCTGCGCCGCCACGCCGATCAGCAACGCCGTCGCGAGCTTCCCTATCTTCCCAACGTCGAACGCGGTGTTCATCGTCGCCCCATTGTAATACTCCTCGTGCACCACCGCGCCGTCCATCGCCACCACGAGGCAATCGCGCGTCGGAAGGTTCTTTCGAAGCGCCGCCGCGCCCTCGATCAGCGTCGATCCGCTCAGGCCGTGTTCCTCCGGAAATGACGAGTACCACGATCCCACGGACGGTCCCAGGGCGCTTCGATCGCCGAGCTTTTTGAACGCATCGCCGTGCCGCACCGCGTACCACGCGCCGAGCCCGAGCCCGAGCGCGATCGTCACCGCGACGACGTGCGCGGCGCGGCCGCGGGAGGCGCGACCTCGCGTCGCCCACTCCGCGGTGTCGGCGTTCATCGCGTGCGAGCGCTCTCGCGTGGAGCGATGGCGTGCGCACTACTGACGAATGAAAAAAGTTTGGGTGTTGGGCGACCGTGAATGGCGAGGCGGTTCGCGGAGGACGATACGCAGAGAGGGGCTCGACGGCGATAGGAGTGGGACGGGGCGGTGCTGGTGATGAGCGTGTAAAGTATACGTTCGTTCACACGGTGTGGTGGTCCTACTTCGACCTCGGTCGCGCCGGGTCGCGGTTGCCTCGCGAGAGGAGGACGACCACCGCCAGGCCGAGGACGGCGCCGGCTGTCGCCTTTGGGTGCTTCTCCTTGAGAATCTCGACACGTCTGGTCACCTCATGGGCGGTACGCTTGTACATGCGTCTCGCGGCGCCTTTAAGACGCTGAATCGGGCTCTCTCGCACTCCAGCCTTCATGCGGTCCTTGAACGGTGAGCGAAGCGGGCTCTTGGCAATCTCCGCCTCGAGCTCCGTCGCCTTTGAGCGCGCGGCGGACAAGCGCTCGCTGAGGTTCATCTCCATCGCCGTCTTTGGCTTGGGTGTACCAGACGATTGTGAAGAGTCCGCCGACGCGGAGCTCTTCACGAGATTCGTCGCCGGCGTGACAAACTTGGAGGACCCGACGACGGCTGGCGCCGCGTTCGCCTTGATCACTCCGTCCATCGCCTTCGCCACGCACGCGCGCACCGCCTCTTCCGTCTCCGTCTCGCTCGCGGTCTCGATCACCCTCCGCACGATCGCCTCCGCGTACGACCGAGCGCTCTCACCGCCATCGTTCTCGTCGCTCGTCGACACCCACGCCGCGCGCGCCGTCGCCGTCCCGCGCCCCTCGCCCCCCTTGCTCCGTCCGTTCACCGCCCCCGCTTCACGTCTCTTCACCGGTGATTTCTCGACGGATTGATGCACCACGCTCCCGCTCGCGCTCGCGTACGCCCCCTCGCGCTCGCGTCGCGCCGCCAGCGCGTCGATCTTCGCCCGCTTCGCCTCCGCCTTGGCGCGTCGTCTCGCCGTGTCATCCGCCGCGATCTTCTCCGCCCGCGCCTTGACGCGCGCCGCGTGCTCGGTCGCGGCGTCACCGTCGCGCGACGATCGCCCCGCGCTCGCGGGCATCGTCGCGCGCCGCGCACCGCGTCGTCGCGCGCGCGAATCGCGGTCGACGTCGTCGGTGCGTCGCGCACATTTCATGAAAATTAAAAATCCATCCAAGAGCCGCCGAGCCATCGCCGGAGTCGTCGCCGACGGGCGCGCGATGGCGGCGCGCGCGCGTCCGGCGGTCACCGCGCGCGATGTCCTGGACGCGGTGACGACGCGACGCGCGCGCGCGGACGCGTCGTTGAAGAATGTCAACGGCGCGCTCACGCTGGAGTGCGAGGTGGGGGCGCTGGCGGGTGCGCGCGCGCGCGTGGACCCGAACGAGGCGGTGGGACGCGCGAGCGCGTGCGCGATGACGCTCATGCACGAGTGCGCGAGCGCGGAGGAGGCGGCGTCGGCGCACGGGGCGGCTTTAGGGGCGATGGCGTTGGCGCGGGAGACGCTCGGACGGAGGGCGACGCGCGCGGCGGCGGCGCGCGCGGGGGCGTCGAGACGCGCGAGCGCGTGCGCGAGGACGATGGCGTCGATGTTGGCGAATGTTGGGGATGCGATTCGTTCTCCGCTGAGTGGGACGGTGTTTGGGCGGTATTTGGCGGGAGATGTGAAGCGCGCGACGGAGTTCGCCGAGGCGCTGTTGGAGGCGCACGGAGACGCGAAGGATCCGCGCGTGCCGATGTTTGAGGGCGCGAGCGACGAGAACGATGGGGATGGGATGACGGTGGAGACGTATCTGGCGTTGATGGCGGTACCGTGTGGGCCAGTGAATCGTGAGTGGGGCGGAGCTCAGCCCGTCCTCGTGGCTCGTTTCTTCGCTGCGATCTTGGCGCTGTTCATGCGAGCTTGGTTCGACGAGACATCTAACAAGATGTCGACGAGACCGACGCAACGGGACATACGGAACGCGCGTCACATACTCTTCAACATAAATTACGTCCTTTCCGAGTATTACCTCGCGATTGATGATGAGCACACAGAGGCTGACTGGGCAAGTTTTGCGCATGCGCTCCGTCCGACGTGGGAGTTCTTACACGTCTTAGCGCTCGACGACAACATCGATGACTACTTCGACGAGTCGATCGTTGGTAAGTTCACGTTCCATCAAGTCATTAAGCTATTCGTGTCGTTGAATTACGACGTGATGGTACGTTACAATACGCTTGAGCCGGTGGATGTGAGCGGAGATTTTGCGTCATCGCTGACACGCATCATGGAAATCATCGAGCTCTTCACCGCGGACACCAACGCGTTCAAGGACGTCCAAAGTGTTGTTCAAAATGAGTTGTACAATGTTTTAACTCTGCCAGAGGACGAGTTCTCACGAAGGTGGCTGCCTCTTGGTGACGTCGGATCTCGAGTCCTCCGCCTTCTTGGCAGCGATGCAAAACGTACGACGCCCATGTTAGCGCTGTATCAAATTATAGGCAACTTGCACGACGCGGAAAATGATGTTGAACAAAGCGAATTTTCGCGAAGGCTCAAACAACACAAAAGTTACTCGAAGGACGCGTGCTTAGCTAATCTCAGGAGATTGGGCGTCGCTTTAGACGCGGCACCGGCGATCAAGCAACCGACGACAGAGGAGAGTGAAAATTACGACAGGTTCGTCTCAGCGATCGCCGCGGCGTGAACGAGTGCGCAGTCGGTGTAACACGTAGGCGTTGCATAACGCAAAGTAGCGGTACATATGGTACATGTAGTAGTAGCGGCACAAAATCATGAAATCACCTCCCTTGTTGGCCGGCGACGGATCCACCGCCACCTGGTGGCACCGACGAGACTCCCCAGACGCCTGTATCGGAAGTTCCTGATTTAGTTCGGATCGAGTCCCAATCATCCGTCGTCCATTCACCCATTCTATCACGATTCAGATGTGCCTCCGTGCCTCTATCCTGACAGAAACCATAGTGATGAACCACGCTGCGCTCGTCGGTGAGTGTGTCGAGCTTGTACTCGACGGCCTCTTCGCCTCGAAAAAAATCAGGAAATAGCGCGAGCAACGATCTATCTTGAGCTCCAGCGTCTATCATCTCTTGGTCCGGCACTTTTTCGCTTCGATCGCACTCTTTTTCAAAGAAAGTGCGATACTCCTCTCGCCACGCGTCGTTTCCCTTGTCCACGGTTTGCTTGTGCACTCTCAGAAACGCCTTTTCCAACTCTTCGAGCGCCAATCCCGGATGATCTATCTCCCAAAACGGCTTACGATTCCCATTCTCGACGTCCATCTTCATTGATTCGACGTGGTAGTTGAGTGAATCCGTCGTCGCCTTGATCGTTTCCGTCACGAGCTTGCTGGAATCAAAGTATCGATGCGCGAGGATTTCCTCACACGAGGTGCGCATTGAGGGGTCGAATCGAAGCATGCGACGCAACAAATCGCGAGCTTCGTCGTCCACGCCGTGATGGAACAATAGGTCGAGCGTACCCGCTCGTCCCGGGAGCGAGCGTAAGTACTCACGCCAGTGTTGAGAGCTGATATGCTCGATCTCTGCCCAGCACGGCGTGCCGAGAACGTCGAAGATCACGTCGAGCTGAGCGCGGCGCTGTTCGGCGCTCTCATCGCATTGCTCGGCGTCGAAATGTTCACCGGTCGGTGGCGATTCCATCATGGTATCTCGTAAGCTAAACAGCGGCTTCACAGCGAGCTTTTGGTTGAGTGCGCCCGACGTACTCGAGACTTGCCTTTGTAAGAGTTCCGCAAAAATACAACCGAGAGCCCAAACGTCTACGGAGCCGGTGTACACAGTGCCACCCATGATCACCTCGGGCGCTCGATAGCAAGGCGTCATAACGTATCGAGTGAGCGTCGACGCATCGACCTCCGCGCTCGACGCGCTGCGCACCATTCGACGTCTCTTTGGACCGAGCTGCTCCTCCTTGGAATCCTCCACCGGCCCACCGAGGGCGCCCCGCGCGCTGCCGAAATCGCACAGCTTAATCACCCGCCCTCCGTGCCTGTGCTTCCCCAATAGCGTGTTCGCACTCTTAATGTCGCGATGCCATATCCCCACGCTGTGCAAATACCGTGTCGCCTCCGTCAACTGCTGCATCAACCCTCGCACTTCCTTCGCCGACAGTTGCCCGCGCAGCGCGTGAATGTCCCCCCCCTCCGCGTACTCAAAGCTCAGGTACACGTCGATCGACACCGCTCGCAGTTGCATCGTCTTCACGTCCAACTTTTTCGCTCCCTCCGCGCTGTCCTCGAAGTACGCGTGCCGCAACGTGCACACGTTTGGATGATTCGTTCGGTGCAGCGCGACAATCTCCCGCAACACCTTCCTCGCGTCCTCCACCGTCGAGAGCGCGTTGGGAATCCGCTTCAGCGCTGATGTGCAGCCGTATCGAGTGTCCGAGGCTTCGCACACGCACCCGAACGACCCGGCGCCGATGACGCGTCGCAATTCGTACCTCTCCCGCGCGTGCCACGTCTCGGTCGGCGCGTCTCGAGACGCTCGGACGTAAAACGTCCACGGATCATCGATCGAGCGCTCGATCGACGCGTCCATGGGCGCTCGATCGACGCCCTCGAGACGCGCGCGCGATCGCTCGAGCGCCCGCGCGCGCGCGCGAGCGCGTCGAGGTCTGACCGACGAGTCGTCGTCAATTGGTCAGACTGTTTGCTCACGTGCATGCGTTCGAACCGCGAGAAAAACCGCACGACGCGCGTCACAGATCGCGCCTCGTCGCTCGAGCGCGCGCGCGCGCGCGCGAATAGAAGCGAGCGATGGCGGATCCGTCGCGCGCGATGTCCTCGAGCGCGCCCGAACCCGCGAGCGGGCCGCCGCGCTCGGGCGAGCTCGTGTTCGAGCCCGTGGGGTCGTTCGAAGTGCCGTCGAGTTCGAGCGACGAGATCGAGGACGCTGGGCACGCGCGCGCGCTCGCGGTGAGCGCTAGGCACGGATACTTCGTCTATGCTCGTGGTGCGCGCGCGGTGGTGGTGCGAACGTGCGAGGCGGCGCAGAAGGCGGCGGAGTGGCGGGCGAGTGAGACGCCGGCGAGCGCGCGGAGGTTGGACGAAGACAGCGTCGAGACGTGCGAGCGGACGGCGAACGGTGCGGCGATCGATGTCGTCGCGATGACCGCTGACGAGCGGGTGTTCGCAACGGGCGATCGAGGGGGGTTGATTGAGTTTTACGCGACTAAGGACGCGCACGACGGCAAGGCGAGGGCGGAAAAGTTTGGAGAGATGACTCTCGCGGCGCCAATTCGCGCCCTGGAGTGGTGCGCGAACGGGTCATCGTTCGTCGCGCTCGCATGTGAGGATTTGGTGTTCGTTGATCGCGTAGGCGGGGAGCCAAAACGGATCGCGGGTGAGGTTTCGTGCGTGAGTGCGAGCGCTGACGGCACGCTCGTCTGGGCGAGCGGAAACACAGTGTTCGTCGGTTCGAGCGACGACCCGTTGGGGACGCCGAATGAATCGATCTCGATCGCACCGTATCGCGGTCCCGATGACGTTGTCGAGCTTGACGGGATCTTTTCGCAGAGCGCGACGAGCGTCATGTTTACCGCCAGAAGTGTCGCCGAACCAGACGACTGCTTCTTCGCCGTTCTCACGAAGGAACAAGGTAGCTGGGCGTTCACGCTAGTCGAGAGTGCTTTCGACGTCGATGGAAGCCTCGTGGGTATGAATGGGCCCGTGTTCAACGCCGTGACATTTGCTCCGTGGAGCTTGCTGTTCGTGACGCATCGCAAGGCGTGGGACAATCAGCTGTTGACGGTAGAGGTAAAGTCTGGATCCGCGCCGTGCGTGCTTGAAGTCGAAGACGACAGATGCTTCGCGACAGTACCTATGACGCTGGACGACGAAGAAAATTATATCACTGGCTTGGGCTTAGATTTGACTGGTGCCAGCGAGGCTATGTTGAACCCTCAAGATAAGAGCGCCGCACCGCTAGCGAAGGGACCGATGTTGATTTTCAGCACCACCGACGGTAGGGTTCACATGCTTAAGTGTGCGTGTTTGAATGCAGCGCAGGGTAGCTCTGGAGCGCAAGTGATCCAAACGCAAGCAACGCTTCCAGCAGACGCGCCGCCGGCGTTGGCGTCCGCAGTGACAGTGGGTGCGGCTCAAACTGAGGCGTCCCCTGCGTCAACCCGAGCCATGACGTTTAGTTTCAAGCCTGTCGAGGCTGCTTCAACGCCTGTGTTTAGCTTCAAACCAGCGGAGCCGGTGAAGACGCTAAGCTTCACGGGGCGACGACGTGGGAGCTTACCACGGTTGTCCTCGGTAAGATTGTGCACTTCGGTCTTTTGTTGGGGCCGTTGATGAACCACGCGGTGAGTTCTGTTTTGCTGGGGATCGTCGGTTTCATGGCGTGCCAAGGTATAGTTCTGGCGTGCACGTTTGCTGTGAGTCACAATGTCGCGGAGGCGAAGATACCTGAGGACACCGGAGGAGAAGCCTGGGAGAGAGATTGGGGTGTCCAGCAGTTGGTGACTAGCGCCGACTGGGGTGGAAAGATAGGTAACTTCTTCACGGGTGGCCTCAACTTGCAAGTTGAGCACCACTTGTTTCCGGCGATTTGCTTCGTCCACTACCCGGACATCGCGAAGATCGTGAAGGAAGAAGCGGCCAAGCTCAACATCCCTTACGCGTCTTACAGGACTCTTCCTGGTATTTTCGTCCAATTCTGGAGATTTATGAAGGACATGGGCACGGCTGAGCAAATTGGTGAAGTTCCATT